TGGCTACACTGAAAACCTCTCTCTATCTTGAATGTGAAAGCCTTCAAAGGAGGCAGTGGGTTTGCTGATGTTGCGGGATGAGTTGGCAGCTTAGAGCAATACCAGGGTGGAGATGGGGATGGAAACACGGGGTGCATCTCTTACTTGTAGGGGTCTGGCTGGGAGCACATACTCATTGTTTGCCTGGTGCCTGTCTGACAGCAAGAACAGAACATCAAACCCCAGTTCTTTGCCTTCCGCTGGCTGACGCTGCTCCTGTCCCAAGAGTTCCTGCTGCCGGACGTCATCCGCATCTGGGACTCCCTCTTTGCTGATGACAAGCGCTTTGACTTTCTTCTGCTCGTCTGTTGTGCCATGTTGACGTAAGTACATCGGTAGCATTCCTGCTCTTCCCTTCCTTTACCTCAGTCTGTGGATCCAGGAGTCTTCTGTAGCTGTATGTTAAAGCATCCAGTGAACAGATGATAGTCACTGTTCATAATGGTAGCAGAAGTGTTTTCAAAAGCCTCTATAAAGGCACAGTGTGGTCTGTCCATAAAGTTCCTTTGTGGAGTCCGAAGTAGCTGGAATGATTTCCATCTTTCAGACTAATCCGGGATCAGTTGCTGGAAGGAGACTTCACTCTGAACATGAGGCTGCTACAGGTAAGGACTGAATATAGTGGGCATAGGAGTCAATGTAAAGAGTCTTAAAATAGCCCTGTGAGAGGGTGATGGTGTGAGGGAGGGTGTGCCTGGCTGAAAACAAATACAGATTTGTGATGTTTGCATGCAGAAAAACCTTGAGGAATCTCACAGCATGCTCATTGCTGGAAGTGCTAAGCTTTTGCTTGTGCGCCCATTCTGTCCTACAGAGAAATTGTCATAGATTAGAGGTTCCTTTTGGTTTGCAGAAGATGGAAGCAAAGATGTGAAACTCTATGTGACAGTGTTAAATTTGTTGGCCAGAGGCTTTTGTTTAGTTCTGAGCTCTGTGAGAGGCCAAGGTTGAGAACACCTGCACTGCACAGTAGGAGATCTTTGTTTCTGCCAGTTCCTGCTTTGGGCTGTGCAAGATACTGGCTTTGATAAGGCTTTCTGGCATGAAGATAGCCCTTGTAGCAGGCCAGCTTGCAGCACCCTTGGAGGACAAATTAAAAGGAAAACAAAACCTTGAAGAGTATTGAGGCTTGATCAGTTACAAAACAGGGAACTATTAGCTGTTAAGGGAGTAACAACATGGCATTATATGTTATAATAGGCCCAAAATGCTCTTGCCAAAGTTTGTCCTACTTAAGTGAACCAACATGTACCAGAAATGCTGGGCAGTCACTTACATCACTTTGTTTCTTTGACACAGGATTATCCTATCTCTGATGTTCATCTGATTTTGAAGAAGGCAAAAGAACTTCAAGATTCCAAATAGTCCATGAGCCTAACAAAAGGTGTCATAGAAACTGTGGCAGCAGATCCCAGGAGATGCCCCCATGCAGCACAGAGCATTAAAGCTCCTCGTGGTCTCTGCAGGACTTCAGGTTTCATGTTTGGGCTACTGGCCATCTTGAAGACTTCCTCCTACTCTATTTATTAGGTCAAGGACTGATTGCTTCCCCACCTACTTGGGTCCTGCACTTCAGATATTTTTCTGTGCTGCCAAAAGCAGTTCTTTGTATCTTTTTAATGACTTTTGAGGAGAAAGAAACCACCTGTCTGCATATCCCTCAAGGGATGGACTCCTGTATCACGGGAGTGACACATGGAGTAACTCCTGATTGGGAAGGGACAGGCAGGGTCCAGTGGGTTTTGGTGGGTGAGTATAGAAGGATCTTCCTCCTGTGAATAGAATGTACTCCAATGAAGTCACACCTCCTGCCATTCAAGTAGCTTCTGGATTCTTCTCCCTCGTGTCTGTGCTTGGCCATCCCTGGGGTGTGTAAAGAAGATTACATTGGGTTTTGGTGATTGTCATCTGGCATCCTGCAGTTTGGACCCCTTTGCCTGGGAAAGGCACCTTGATGAGCAAAGATGGGAGGACACAATTACAGCTGGTGGCTTTGTGCACTGAAACTGCCTGAATCCAGAATCGCCTTATCAACACGGTCTCCTTGACAGCCAGACTGGTGGTTTTAATCAATAAGTGCAGTTTGAACTCCAGCCTTATTATGCACAGCCTTAGAGCAGGAGCGTGTTGCTGCAGGGAGGCTTCATGCTGCTTTCCTGGCTCTGAACTGGAGCATATCCAGCTACAATCCGGATTCTGAAACACAAGAAATGGGCATCTAGACATGTGCAATGAAGACAGATGTATATAGAGGCTTATACAGGCATGGCACTGGGCTGTTTCTGCCTCAGTGGCTTGCATAATATTACCCTGCAAGAAGCTCTGGTCACAGGGACCTTGATACTGTCTCACAGTACACCTTGCCAGGAAGAGACGTGGTACAGGTCTGAGCTACAAGCAAGAGTGCTTTCCTGGTGTAATCCATTAGACATACAGGCATCACACGAGGTCCTGGTGGAGTCACAGTCCTGAGCTGGACATTGGTCCCTCTTGAGAGGGGAAACTACTGCATTTCCAGTACAGTGGAGCAGCTGAACAACGACTGAGACAAACCATGGAGAGAGCTGCTAACCTGTGGCAGTGTTGAGCTGATCAGAAACCCTAATCCTCGGAGGGAGAAACTGCCAGCACCCGGGTGCCTGGGTGGAGCAGAAGCTCTTGAATGAACACTAATCCAGCGTGCTTTCCCTTTCCTTTCCATGCTATGCTGCCTCACCTCTGCGTGGCTGTTTGACACTGCAGGTTTTGGTATTTATGGGTATTGATTTGTTAAAGGTCAGTCTTTGTAAGATCTGCTTAAGCTGCTGATGGCCTACAATTGCCTTAGCAGGAGGGATGCTGTCAGCCTGCAGCTTTTATCCTGGTGTTATTTCCTTCATTGAAGGCCAGTTCTTTCCAGGCTCCTATAATTGTCACAGAGGTGTGTGGGGAGGCTGGGGGACAGGTTGATGCATGTACCTCTGTTCTTATTGGCAATCTGTAAGCAAGCTCTGCCTGTTGAGGAGATGCTCGAGTAACCCTGGGGCAGCCCAGTGTTGCTGCTGTGGTGGAGCAAAAGCAACTGAAGACTTAAAACAATCTGTAATTAATACCTATGGCTAACACTATCCCTATCTGCTGCACTCCTTTCTAGAGGGTAGCGTTTTCCTCCAAGAAATATAGAACCAATAGGCCAGCACAGCTGTGTGATGAAGCATCCTGCCTGCTCTAATCACTGGATGGGTCTTCCTGCCTTGTATTGCTGAGCTATTCCAGGGGGTCTCATAGGTACCCCGCACTAGAGGGGCCAGCAGGCAGACCTCATGTGGCCAAAGAGCTAGGTGACAGGCACAAATGTAGACTGAAAAAGTCAAGCTCTTAGGCAAAATCTGACCCCTTCCAAGCACTTCTGCCTCAGAACTGCCCTAAATGCACTGTTGCTTTCTCCCATTCTGTATCTCACATTGTGGTTTTGCACACACAAGCTCTGCTCTCACCTCCCTGAGTACTTGGCCTGTCCATTTCAGGTCCCCTTGGCAAGTGCAGGGGTCCCTTACACTGTATTTTCTCACTAACAGGATCATCCTTGAGGGTTCCTGCTCTGAACAACTGAAAGTCTCCTTAAAATAACCTGAGAAGGCTGCAGGCAAATCAGGATTAAAGCATTATTGGGAGATGAACTTCTGGTGTTTTCAGAGCAGCGTTTGGGCCCTGAGGTTGACCTAGAGGAAGACACTGGGGAGGTGATGTAAGTGGCTGACTGGGTACTGGTATTGTGCTGTCTTCTCCCTTCCTAGGTGTTGAAGAGCTATGGGGTGATGGGAAATGCTTTTAAAAGGAGTCTTTGGCTACAGGAAGGGTTCTTCTGGATGAATTCTCTACCTTTATCCAGACTATGGATTCAACTGATTGAGGACTGATTAAGGACTTCTTTGGGGAGCACTTGTAACAACTTTGATACACCCAGAGTGGCTGGATCTTACATGAAAAGCTGTTTTATAATCCTCCTTGTCCCCTCCTGTGTGGTAAGCCTGTTGAAAGGAGCTGTACTTTTCAATGTCTTGGGACATCTGGTTCCTTATTCCAAGCCTTTTTTCTGAGTGGAGAAAACAAAGTCTTAACTTGTTATGAGCTTTTGCATCTCCTCGTGGCTTCATTCCTCAAAGGCTTCTGGTGATGTTTTGCTGTTGTTGAGGTCGGGGGGGTATTTATCTACTGGTTCTTTGCTTTTGTGGCCAACTAACAACTACTCCACCCTTGAGGTGCTTCCACTTCTGATTCATTTCAGTCCTGATCAGCTGCAGGAGCAGGGGGTTTCCTGAAGCAGCAGTTCTTTGGGATGGGAGGTGTTAATCTGGGGTGCTTTGGGGCCCCCTTATTTCATTTGCCAGGGAGGGTCGGACCAGGAGGATGCTGGAGATGTTGTTGTTGTTGCTGGTGGTCCTGCAGATCACTGGTTTGAGTTGGCATTAAGTGACCTACGTACACTTCGGCAGTGAGTGGGATGAAGCCCTGGGGTGGCTTTGGGTGTTTGGGAAAGCATTTCCCTGAATGAACGTCAGGGACTTGCAGCTGCCTGGAGCGCGCTTCCAAACTGCCCTTTCCCTGTCAGAGAGGATCAAGAACACGTTACTGGTTTAGCATGTCTGGAGCGCATGGCCAGGGCAGGGTGCGGAGAGCACTTCCCGCAGCGCTCGAACCCTCCGTCTTCTATCCGTCCTTTACCCAAACGGGCGGCTTTGTGCGGACACCTCGGGGTTCTCGCTGCTGCAGGGGGGAGCCCCGCTCCCAGCTCCGGTTCGATGCCGCTTCCCTTTGCCCCGGTACAGCGCTTTCTCGGCTCACCGCTGCCGCGTCTATCGCCGCCGGCGAGGCCTCGGGTCACAGTGTCCCTACGAGCAGCGCCTTAAAGGGGCGATGCCCCCTTGCGGCACGATGCCGTCACCGGGAGAGCCGCGGCCCCTTTAAGGGGCGGGTCCCGCTGCTCAGCGGCAGCCATGCTGCGGAGCCGGTGGCTGCTGCCGGGGGCCGCGCTTGCCCTGGGCGCGGGGCTGGGGGCCACCCTCAGCCGGCGCCGGGCCGGGGGCGATGCGGCGGAGGGGCTGCTGGGCCGCCTGCCCGTGGTGCCCGTGGTCCCCGCCGTGGCGGCGGCCGGGCCGCCCGCGCTGCCGGGCTCGGCGCCGGTGGAGCTGACCAAGTACGGGCTGCCCGGGCTGGCGCAGCTGCGGAGCCGCGAGTCCTACGTGTTGTGCTACGACCCGCGGAGCCGCAGCGCGCTCTGGGTCATCGAGCAGCTCAACCGGGACACCCTGAGCGGCGCCTCGGAGCGCGCCGCCTGCGACTTCCAGGAGGACGACTCCGTGCACGAGTACCACCGAGCCACCAACGCCGACTACCGCGGCAGCGGCTTCGACCGCGGGCACCTGGCGGCCGCCGCCAACCACAAGTGGAGCCAGAAAGCCATGCGGGACACGTTCTACCTCAGCAACATCGCCCCGCAGGTAGGGCCCGGCCCGCGGTCAAGGGCAGGCGCTGCTCCGGGCTGGGAGCCGCTTCCGGGCGCTCTTCCCTATGCAGGCAGAGGGGGTGTCCGGGGGGTGTCAGCGGCCGGAGGGGCCAAAGTCTCTCGGTGCTGCCGTGTTCCCAATACCAGGAAATAAAGCGTTAACATTGTGCCTGCTGCTTAAACAGTCGCTCTGCTTGGTGAAGCAGAACCGTAGGAGTTAAAGTTGCTGGAATGGTGAAGCAGAATTGTAGTAGATAAGATTCATAGCTTAATACTTCAGACGTTCTTGTTCAATCCGCGTATCGGCAGCAGCGATCCCGCAGGGGCCAGGAGCTCGGTTAAACAGGCAGGAGGATGCTTGGAAAAGGATGGGTTAAGGCAAGCGGGCGCTGTTCCTGTGTGTGCAAACCAGGACCTCGCTGTGTGCCGCTTCCCGAGTGGAAGTGATGATGGGGATCTCTCCCGGAAGGTGCTTGGGGTGCACAGGAAAGCGGGTGTTAGTACCCTGAACGGAGGGGAAGGTCCCCAGCACTGACCGCTGCCTGTCTCACTTGGCTGTGTCTCCAGGATCCTCATTTGAACCAGAATGCCTGGAATAACCTTGAGAAGTACAGCAGGAGCTTGGCGAGGAGCAACAAGAACGTCTACGTCTGCACAGGACCCCTCTTCCTGCCCAGGTAAGCACAAGGGCTGAGCTGGGATGTGCCGTGCTGGGCAAGGGCAGGAGGCTGAGGGAGAGGTGCAGCCTCCCAGCTGCTCCCTAAGGCCCTGCTCAGGAGGTGCTCTCGGGATCCGTTTGTGTATTCCCCATGCAGTTCATTATTCCATGAGCTACACCATCACCAAGTCCCTTCTGTTTGCAGTCCTTACTAATCCAAGTACTAGGTTATTGTATTGACAGAGGAGGCTGCAGCCCCGTTCCCTGCAGGTTAAAACCCCAAGGTTTTATTTTCTGGGCTATTTCTCCAGTTAAAAGCATGACTTTGTTTGCAAAGATCTCCATGCAGTGCTGAGGAGCAGCTGGCCCATGCTGAGATCTCTTTAGAGGCAGGAAGCAGCTTGGAAGGGCTGAGACAGCAGGGAAGGGTTTGGGGCAGAGCAGTGTTCACGCAGCGCAGCCTCACCTCACTGTTTCAGCTGTACTGCACAGCAGGGATGCTCCGTGCCCCGCTGCGGGGTGGGGGCTCACGTTGGAGGGTTGGTGGGGTGCTGAGGGGGGTGGATGTGGCACCAGACTAGGAGGTAACATGGGATGTTGCTGTCGATGCAGGATGGAGGCCGACGGGAAGATGTACGTCAAGTACCAGGTGATTGGGAAGAACAACGTGGCTGTTCCCACCCACTTCTTCAAGGTGCTCATCTTGGAAAAGGAGAGTGGGGAGATTGAGCTGCGCTCCTATGTGATGCCCAACAGCCCCGTGGATGACAAAATCCCCCTGGAACGGTTCCTGGTCCCCATTGAGAGCATTGAGCGAGCCTCAGGGCTCCTCTTTGTCCCAAACATCTTGAAGAGAACCAGTAACTTGAAAGCCATCACAGCTGGAAGCAAGCGTTGAACCCCATCCAGGTACTCCTGGGGAAGGGACTGGCAGCAGTCACATCTACACAGGAATACTAGTTCCTTGTGCAGTTTTAAATGTGGGAAACGAGACTCAAACCAATGTTCCCTTTACCCTTCCAGGTAGCAGCTGTGCACACGCAGCCACTCTGCAGAGCAGGGCTCTAGAGCTTGCCCCTAAGCTGCAGTGCAGAGGTGACTCCTGTGTGTGGCTCATTAAGGCACAAAGGGAAGTTCCTCAGTAGCTGCTGTTTAAGCAGGGAAGGACTGGAGCAAGATGGATGCAGGGAAGGGAGAGGTTCCTGCCTTTCTGTGGCTAAAGGATTGTTTTGTGTCAGATGTTTTTAGCAGTAAAGCTTTGAACACCCACACTATTGGTTGTTTATCTGCTCTCACCAAAGGTCCAAGTATCTCAGCAGGAGGAGGGGAGGACACAGCCAACTCTTCCAGCTGCTTTCCTGTTTGAGCTCCCTGTAGGCAGAGCTTAAGGCCTCACAGACTGTAATGAGCTGTGCTGACATGCTTTAGCACTGAGATCCAGCTGAAGCTCCAGCCCTTCCTGCTGTTGGGAAAGATGAAGCCTTGAGCTGAAGGGAGGATGGGGGGAAGTCAGGCTGAGACAGGAAAAGCTTCTTGGCATAGGGGTTAAATTTTGCCTTCCCTTAAGTGTGAGGGCCCTGGGGCCATCCTCTACACCAAGACACTCACACATGGACTTCAAGGCAGCTGAGGTTCCATATTGCTTTATTCCCCCCCCAGATGTCTGAATGGCTGAGATCCTGCTGCCAGGCTCCTCTCAGCTGTGCAGGGGCAGTGACCAGCCCTTGGCAGGACCGTACAGGCAGGAGGATGCAGACCTGCTGCTCCCAACAGCAGCCAGGGGCTCAGTGAAGCAGCACCTCCAGCTTCAGTCGCCGTGCCTTGGCCCTGCAGGCTCTTGGAGTGATGTCCCCAGCACCCCACATCTGAACAGCCTCTGCCCAGGCCGTCCTCAGCTGCCAGCAGGGTCTGTGGTCTCCCTGCCCTCCGCTGGCACCGGTGTCTTCACAGCCTCCTCGATGTGGGGCCTCAGTGCAGACAGGGAGATGAGCAGAGCTTCCTAGAACAGAGCCAGGGGTCAGCCGGGAGCGCTGCTCCCTGAGGAGCACACACCAGGCAAGCTGAGGGGCCACCATGGGGAGCAGCACAGGGGCTGTGTGTGTCAGTGCTCTGTGAGCCCACCTCTGTCCGGATGGTTCTGCTGCCCTGGCTGGGACACGTGTTCAGGTAGAAGTCAAACAGGACGCTGGGGTCAGTGACCTCCAGGTTTGGGTCCACGTCAACCCCGGCTTCCAAGCCCTCCAGACCTCCAAACACGACAAGGGCATGCCTAGGGGAGAGCAGAAGGGGCAGGGTGAGAGGGGAGACTGGCTCTTACCCCTGCACCAAGGGAGATGCCTTGAGTGGATTAAGAATTAGCTTCACATCAAGCAGTTCTCTTGATCTGCAAGAAACAGACTCATTCCTTCTGCTCAAGTATGTGGGTCTGGGTTTGAGCCCCTGTGCTGCTGCAGCAGGGAACTGTGTCCCTGCTGATGATTCCCAATGCAGCTGCCTGCCTAAAAAAGCACTGCACCAATGTGACAGTCCCTTGTACCAACTCTAGAGAAATAGTAAAGGAATTGGCCTTATCCTTGGGTACTTCCCCAAGCAAAGCAATGCAATGCAAAGGAACGTGCCTTGGTGTAAAAGGGAACAGCAGAAGCAGCCTGCAGGTGAATCTAATCTAGGAGCATTCCTGCCTGGAGAACACCAAGGCCACAATACACTGCAGGCTTGAGTGGGGCCAAGAGAGCAAGACAAACCTGAAGGAAGGGAGAGTGGCCTCATCCACGGAGCTGCCCCGCTCTGAGGTCCCAATGGAGAGATCGTAGCCTTCCTTGAACGGGCACTCTGCAAACACAGCACCTGGGACACAGACACAATATGGGGCTATTTGTGTGGTGCTCTTGCCTTTGCTCTGTGCCTTCTGGACAGGCTGGAGCCCTCCACGATGAGTGGTGGCAGCAGAAGGAACTGCTTTTCAGTGCGAGAACGACTCTTCCTGACAGTTCCCTTGCTGCAGGAGTGTCTGGCACCGTTCTCAGCTGCAGCACCTTTCCTCAAGGCTCAAACAGGTGCCAGGAACCATTCCCTCACTAACAGCTTATGGTTTTCCTTGGAGCTCTCATCAACCAGAAGACAGGGAAAGGATTCTGCAAGGCTCAGATGTCACTGCTGGCTTTGATGTGAATGAATGGGAGGCAGTTACTGTGGAAATGCAGACGCACTGGCTGGAGATGGAGAGTGCCACTGATACAACGCGGACATCTGGAGCAATGGTGAGTGGAGGTACAGGGCAGACTGGGGGTGACTGGGGTGATTCATGCCCCTAGCTTCAGCTGTTACATGTGACAGGACTGAGAGCAGAGACTGCCTGCAGATACTCACTCAGGCAGGAGGCAAGGCGGACGCTGTAACCCCAGTATAAGCCTGAGACTGTGCGAGGGTGCTGGGAGGACACCACGGTGCCTTTCCGCACTTTAGCTTCTGAAAGGGAAGCAAAGAGATCAACACCTGCAGTGAGAGCTGGATCTGAGCAGGCACACACAGCAGTTTCTCCTAGAGCAGGGCACTGACTCGGTGTGTAACAAAGAGCCACCCTGTTGAGTGCAATCTGCAAGTATGTTTGGGCTGTTTATTACTGCTCAAAGAGCTGATGGCTCGCTCCAGTTCACCAGGGAGGTGTGGTAAGGGGGTTGTTAAAACTGTGTGGAGCAAAGGACCGTGCAGAGCTGTTTGTACCTTCGGGTATCAGTGATATGAAGCTGTGATGTGGAAGGGACCAACTCCTGCAGCACTGAAGCTCACAGGGGCTAACGGAGCAGGGGATTACCTGGCTTCTGGGGTTCCTCCAGGCGCACAGTGACTCGCAGGCCAGGGTTCAGCTCTCTGTCGATCTGCACCTCCTGCAGTGACAGTCACAATCAGCATCAGGCACTGCTGGAAGTACTGGGAAAGGTGGGGAAGGAAGGGAGCCCTCTGAGGAAGGTCTGCTCTGGCCTGGGGCTGCAATGAGCTCTGTGGTCAGGGCCTGTGTGGCTCATGCAGTGCAGAGCAGGCTCAGGGTGCTCTGGTCAGCAGTCTGAGGCTTGTGTTGCTGCTCAGAGTGCTCCAGCAGTGAAGCAACTAAGTGTTAAGAGGCAAACCTGCCAGAACTTGGGAAGCTACAAACACTGATGAGCCACAAAGGACAAGGTGGCAACGAGCATTAAACCCAGTGCGAGTCCACCATGGCCTTCAGAAACCCCGCAGCACCCACCCTGCCTCCTTCAAGTCTGCCAGAGAGACGGGGAAATGGTTCTGGGGGTAACGCGCACCTTCTTCATCCCACAGTTAACAAAGGAGCCTCTGCCCGCCTTGGTTGGCCGGTCCAACACTACCCCTTCCCGGTACTCCGAGTCCTCATCCACCCGCATGTGGTGGGGGCTGTCCAGGGGGTTGAGCAGCCCTGAAAGAGCACAGAGAAAGCAAAGAGAAGTGTAAGTCCAACTGCTCTGCTACCCGCTCCCTCTCTGGTCCAGCACATCACAGTCTGCACTCTGACGTGGGAAGAGTTACTCAGTTCCATGTGTAAGGTGAGCAAGAGCTCAGGAAGAGGGAGCCTGGGGCAGACACAGCTGAATCATTACCTGCAAACTGCAGATCCTCGTGCTTTGGGAAAAAGGATTTCCTCAAGTACCTGTTTGGCAGAGAAGGTTGAAATGTAAACCCAGCCTTTTTATTGAGTCTCAGCTTCAGTTCTAGCCCTTTCTGACTTAAAGGAGCTGAGTACAGAGAAAAGCTTGTTTGGCTCCCTCAAGTCCCAGATGTAACCTCTCTCATGCAGGTTCTACCCTGCAGTCACGGCTCTTTTAGTTGAACTCCTGAACCACACACGTGAAGCAATGAGCTCCCGTGTTCTGCATCATTAGACAACATAAACAGGATTTGCCTCCTGCTCCCATAGCCCCTTGCATGAGATACCCACAGCAGTCGGTTCTGATGCACGGTTCAGCCATGGGGGACTTACTGAGGGCACTCCAAGTACTGCAGGATCCGAGCCAGCTGCACACAAGCCTTGCCTCTCCTTCCAATTCCTTCAAAGTCCCCCTCCACGCTCCTGTAAGTGACAGGAAGCAGCTCGTGAGCTCAGCACGAGGCAGGGCAGGCCTGCAGAGGACGAAGCCTGAAACCAGCTCCTTGTGAAAGGGCTGCTCCAGAGGCAGAGCCTGTCACCAGATCGCATTTGGAACTCTTTGCAGGCCATGTATCTCCTTCACTTTTGGTCTCTGTGCTCTTCCTGCACAACACATCTTACTTTACATCTTCTCCGTGCTCATCGAACACCACGATCTCGTCCACGCAGAAGATGGTGCAGGCCCGGGCAATCTGTCCTGCGAGGTACGTCCGCAGCTCCAGCGACTGGGCGTTGTTGAGGATGGAGCCCGGCAGGGCCACGCTCACAGTGTAGTGCCGCCCTGGGGAGCGGAGAGCAGAGAGCCATGGCCTGACAGCTCCATGTAGTGTTTTAGTTATGTGGGGGGGGAAGCAACCTCTATTGTTTAATCACGGGTTTCCCCTTCATAAAGGTTTCTCACTGCATCGGGTTTGTGCCTGTTCAGATCTATCTCTAAAGCTGACTGAGTTCTCTCAGCCCTTTCAACCCGGGCCTCCCCATGGGGTCACAGCAGCATCACCTCTGTCTTCCTGCTGCTCCTCTCGCTTCTCGGCTCGTTTCTCCTCCAGCTCCCGCATCCGCTGCTTTTCCAGCTTCTTCAGCAGCTTCATCTCCTTCCATTTCTTCTTCTCGGCTTTCCCTGGAACGCACAAACATCACCCCCTCGCTGCAAGCAAACAGCCGTGACCGACACGAGGGCCTCCCGGTCCGAGGGATCCCCGCCCGCAGTCCCCACGCGATGCCGGGCTTACTCTCCTGCTTCCATCGCCGCCAGTCCACCTTCCGGTCCGCAACCTGCGGGACACCGGCCGCGACCATCACCGCCGGGCTCCCCTCGGGGGCCGCCCGCGGTGACCGGGCCAACACCGCCCCCCCGCTCCGTACCTGCACGCCTTTGGGCCGCTTGCCCACACCGCTGCCGTCCGCCATCTTCTGCCTCCCTCCCTGGCCACGCCCCCTCCCGCGGTGGTGATTGGTTGGAGGACGCAGGTGCCCGCCCACTGCGGGGAGGAGCCCGGAATCACGTGAGCCACTGGCCGGGCAGGGGAAGGGGGTACCCGAAGGACACCATGGGGCGGTGCGGGGGTACCCAGGGTGGTTGTGACATCCGGACACCCTCATCTGGGTGTCTGCACAAGCGCTGGGTGCGTGTTGGAGGATGGGGAGATGGACCCTGCCCCTTGCGGGGTGTGCCATGGCTTAGAGCAGGAGCCCACGCGTACGGGGTTGTTGCAATTACTCTTTATGTCACGGTTGTTCGTCTGTTTTAGGGATTGTAGCTCTCAGCATTTGGCATGGCTATGGGTGCAAAAGGGCCTTCAGCAGCACCCTCACCCATCCAGGCCGTGCAGACAGGATGGGATGTGTTACCCCACCTCCTGCTGGTGAAGGCAGGTGGGTGTTTGCCCCCCTCCTGCAGCTCTGGCTCCCAGGGGATCGGGGCCACCAGCTGCACCCCACCACAAAACCTGTGGAGCCGCTATCCACAGGGATGAGCAGCCACCGCTATCGGATGCAATGTGGATGTTGCACGCGTGACGGCAGCTCTCCAGGAAGGCTGCGTCAGCCCTGGGATCATTACAGAGCCATTGACTCTTCAGTAATAGCAGTAATTCCACTTTAATAATTTAACTGCTACAAATACTTATTGCACAGTCTGTTGCGTGATGGATGATGCTGGTTTGCATTGTTATGCAGGTTGAAATCGACAGTGATGCAAGAATGACCTTACAAAATGCTGCTCACATTACCCCATCACCCATCACCCATCAGCCTGGTGGGTGGGAGGCTGTGGGGGCCACCAGCAACAGGAGCAGCCCAAGGCCACTGTACCCATCCTCCCCAGCCACTGTGTGCATTCATCAGTGGCCTGAAGGTTTTTGTTTTGCAGCCTGGATGATGCTGCTGAGCGTTGACAAAGTGCCAGGAGTAGTTTGGGGGATGCACAGGGAAGGTTTGGCAGTAGCCAGGCTATTCATGAAAGCCTGTTTCCCTGGGAGTAACCAATGACCCATCTCAGCTTTCCCACAGATGCACAGAAAAGAATGATGGGAAAACTAAATAATGTTAATTCTGGAAAATGGCATTTCACTGGGTTTTGTAATTTTCAGGATCATAGGAATTAACCTACTGATGATACTGCATGATCCCATGGGAACATGGTGCCGGTGGAAATGGTGTCCTGGGGTACATGGTAAGGCCCCAGCATGGCCTTAAAGGTAGGTCCTGAGATGCCTTTTCAGAATTTGGTGGTGGAAAAGCCCCCAGGAGCCATCCTTACCTTGCATCTTGCTGGATGCATCCCAGAACTGATTAGCAAAGTCTTTAAACTTAAGACAAACATCATTTGATGTTTTACTGTCAGGGCATGCAAAGATTTGGTTCTTACAGTAACAGTGCAATCATTTCCCAGTGACAGAAAGTGTCCCCCAGACTCTGGGCCTGGCAAATCTCTGCCCATTTGTCTGACAGAAAATGTGGACAATAAGAACATATCAAAGTATGGAGCCAAGCAAAGTAAGAGGAAGAAGGAGCAGCCGGGGCAGGTGAGGACCAAGGAGAGCCTGGTTCTCTCTCAGTGCATTCAGGGACTGGTTTTCTCCTGTTTCCATTTTTGCAGTATGTCATTTGCTGCCTTCAGCGTAGCTTCCTCCTAAACAAATACCACAGGGTCAGGCAGTGGTTTCCAGCCAAATCCCCTTTCCCATCACTGCAGTCATCATTCATATAAAAATCCCTTTCTCATTTTGGAACATTGCAAATGCTGCATGTTCAGTATGAGACGGACACATCCATCTCTGGGGCAGGCACAGCCTCTGGGCAGATAAACAGGCACCCAGAAGACTGTCTTGACCAAGAAATGTGGGATGCTGTCCCAGCTCGGCTCACATGTCTGCAGGAGGGGGTCAGACCAGCCTTGGTGCTATACTCAGGCTCTAATACTCAAGGCACTTTACACCTCTTCTTGGCATTTACATCATTAAACCACCTCTGATTATTACTCCTAACCTCACCTTCATTTATGCTACCACACATCTCACCTTTGCGAAGCAGAACCGGATGAAATGGCTGTAGTTGTTCTTGTGGGCCCCACAGTAGAAAGCAGAGAGTGGAATGGCAGCAAGTCCCTAGGAAAGGGAAACATGGAGCTGAGGTTACTCCTCGTGGGCTGACATGCAGCCTGCCATGCCCCAGTTTATCCACTGCAGACACCCCTTGCCATGAGCTGCCAGACCCGGCAGTGGTGCTGTGCTGTGCTTCCAGCAAGGAGGGCACAAACACAGCATTTACCTTGTTCTTGACCATCCACTTTGCAAACCTGGAGTCGTAGGGCTCATCAGAATTAGGGACATCAGGGACATCAGATTCTGTAGGAGAAGCACAGCAGCACAAAGGCTGGGGCTACTGCCAGGTGCCACAGGCAAGCCCCAAACCCACAGCTTCTGGGAGCTTGGATGGGGAATGTGCTGTTGTCCATCCCTGCTTTGGTGGTGGTTTATGCAGGTTCTTGTCCCAGGCTGGACCCTGCACTCAGTGAAACTGCAGGTGACTCACTGAAGTTGGAGATGTCTGCTAACAAGAAGTAGGTGCCCTCGGGGATGATGGGTTTCATCCCTGCAGCATCCAGGCTCTGGACCAGCCAATCTCTCTTCTTCTGCAGCTCCTTGGGCAGTTGGACAAAGTAGCTGTCTGGTTTCCCATACAGCATGAGCTCCCTCTGGAAACCCTGAGCCACAGCCTCCTGTAGGGAGAGAGGAGCCAGTAATCAGTGGGAAGAGGATCAAGACTTGCTTGGGAGTCTATGTTCCAATGCAATTCGCAGGTGATTAGGGAGCTCTCTGCCTCCAGCACCTCCAAATGGCCCCTTTGATTTGTCAGTGCAAAATAAGGACTACACCCCAGGTGGGCTGTGCCCTCCCCTTCCTGCCAGACATGGGACAACTGCAGGGAGAGGGGAAGGAGCCTTTCCATGGCACCATACACCATGTGCCTTTCAGGTCAGCTGTGGGCAGAAGGACCCTGTCTCACCACAGCTTCAGTGGTTTGGGGATTGCAGGGAGCTGCCTTACCTGGGCAGCTGTGGCACAGTGGTACACTGAGTTTTGGTGCACGGTACGGATGTGCTGCAGCAGCCTGTTGGGTCCCACGGTCCAGCCTACCTGCAGCCAGGAGAGGAGGAGGAAGGTTTTAAGTCTCTGGGTACCTGCTTGGGCTCCCCTTTATTTGCCTGCACTGGCTTCACTGTATTTTCCAACCAGGGTTATCATCAAGCAGCTTTAGTGCTTTCAGACTCTGAAGCTCAAAGCTGAGTGTGTGGCAGCAGAGTCCCCAGTGCCATGCTATGGCAATGGGACCCATGCCCTGCATCAAAGGGACAGGGATGGGGACACAAGGAGGTGCTGCATGAGGGAACTCACCTTCCAGCCAGTGGCACTGAAGGTCTTCCCAGCACTCCCAATGATCACTGTGCGATCCCACATCCCTGGCAAGCTGGCTGGCAGTGAAAGAAGAGAAAAACCCCAATGGCAGCACTGAGCGTGCTCGCTTCTGGGCTGCATTAATGACACGGTGAGGGCTCTTTAACCACCATAACCATGACAGCCTCTGGTCACAGCACATCTTTCACCAGGACGAGCCTCAAAGCACATCCCAAGCAGACAGCCTGGCTTCTCAAGAGCAGCTCTTTGTAATTAAGTGTGTTCACACACATGTACCCAGCCCAGGGGTTCCCAAAGACGCCAAGCACCATCACCCTGCAACAAGGGGATTGGATGTTACTGAAACAGGAAGGCCTGTTAGGCCTCTGAAATCATGCTGAAATGGGTGTCCCAAAACTAGAGACACTCAGAAAAATGTGCTTTTACAAACTATAGGAAAAGTTTCAGTTTCACTGGAGCCAAAGGGCTCTTTGCTCTAGATCCTGTGCTGTGAAGGTACCTCTCTGTTTCATCTGACTGACTCTGAAAGTCAGGACTAGACCTGGTTGGGAGGCTGAGACTGAAGTGCAGCAAAATACCTCTACTGGGGATACATGCCCAACACAGCTGTACATGCAGGCAGCCCGTGAGCTCCAGGGGACCCCAGCTATATCACCAGAGCCTTCCCCAAAGACCTAGAGAAGATGCCAGCCTCAGTGAAGCTGTTCTCCATACCGATGCGGATGTGCTCCTTCCCATCATAGACCAGCCACTCGTACACCTCATCACTGATGCACAGGACATCATGCTTCACACACAGGTCTGCAATGAGCTCCAGCTCCCCTTGGCTGAATACCTGCAGCAGGCAGGGAATGGAGCAAGGATGAAGCAGGAACAATTTCTGAGCCCCTGCCTGCCCCTGCCTTCTCCCAAGCCTGGGTGGGCAGGAGCTGGCTGCAGCAGTCTAACAGGGCAAAGCCATGCTGGCACAAGAGATCAGGCTTAAAACCACCAGAATAGGGAGTGCAGAGTGTGGGGCTCCCAAAGCCCCCATTTCCCTTGTGTCAAGGAAGGTTGAGCCACTGCTACACTGCAACCCAGCAGCTTTCAGGGCCAGGCACAGCAAGGCCAGAGGTATTACCTTGCCCAGAGGGTTGTTGGGTGAGTTCAGGACAATGGCTTTTGTCCGTTCATTGAATTTAGAAGCCAGTTCAGCCGAGTCCAGCTTCCAGTCTGCACTAGACATCATTTTTCCATTTTCTGGAGCTTTCTAGAGAGAACAGAGGGGAATCTTGGCTTGCTTTGCTACCTCTGCGCTTTGCTTACCTCTCACCTCTTTGCTCACTTTACTGTGACTCTTCCCTCCTCAGCTTTGCTCCGTCCCACTCACCGGTCTCAGTGGGACAAACACTGGTGTCCCACCAGCCATTGTCACCATCGGCTCATAGCAGTCAAAGAAGGGCTCAATAATTATCACCTGGAAGAAAGGGATATGTCATTGCTCAGACCTTCCCTGATGGGTACACAGAGCAATGGGGGTACAGGAAATATTAATCAGTGAATTGCTGTAACGGAGAATCCATATTGCCTGTGGGCAAGTGTCAGGGAAGGGCACCACCACTTAGGGAACAAGGGTTATTCTGCCTTATGCAGAAATGAGACAGTGCCATGCAGTAGGTAATTCTTTCCTTTAGAAGCTCAGATACTGGAGTATGGGGATAAAACCATTTCTGCTTTGGAAAAGGACAATGAAAACCAGTCTGCAGCTGCTGGCAGACCCAAAGCCAAGAAGGGCTCTCCTGAGGGAAGATTGCTGGTACAACAAGCCCAGAATCTTGGGTTACCTCATCGCCTTCATCAACGAAAGCCTGGAAGCAGCAGAAAAGGGCCTGGTATGCCCCGACGGTCACCATCACATTGGTCATAGGATCCAGGTCCTGTCCAAGCAGCTTCTCAAAAAGCTGGGCTAGGACCTTCACCAGAGGTGGGTGTCCCTGTGGGGAGAGAAGATGGGTGGGACTTGAGTTGCAGAAACCTCCTGAAACATGGAAGAGCCCATGGAAAGGGGCCAAGCACCCGGTGACTGAGTGTGCAGGGCATCTTCCATCATGGCTGCTCGAAACACCCTGGTAAAGCAGGGTGGTACAGGCCTGGGTGCAGGGGCCTTGGGCTGAGGTTGGATGCATGTTTTGCCTGATGTGGTTTGCCCTGGTTACTGCTGCCTGAGAAGCCCTGAAGCAGCCTAGGCCAAGAGGGACTGAGGGGGTACTGCTGAGGAAGGGGTCTGTCCACGCACAAAGGCACGGGTGTACTGGTGCAGCATGTTGTTCTCCCTGCTGAGGGCTGTCACTAATGCCTCCTTCAGAAAGTCCGGTGGGGGGAAGTCAGGGAAGCCCTGGCCGAGGTTCACTCTGGAGTAGGTGGCAGCCAGTTTTACAAACTCCACCCTGGAGAGGAAAAGGGAGAGAAAGACAAGTGTTTACAGAGGGCCTGGGCAGCGCACTGGCACCAGCTCTGCTTGCCAGCATCCCTTTGGAAGTGAGCGAGATTGGTGTCCCTCCTGCAGAGCCACCCTGCTGCTCACAGGTGGACAGGATCAAGCACAGGTCATTTCAGACCTGTTTCAACTAAACTGAGGATGAAACGCTATTGCAATGAGGAGTGGTTTTCATTTGTTCTTGAAGGAAACAGCCATTGTGCTGTCTGGGTGTGTGGTTGCAGCTGTAGCCGCACACCACACGCTGGACAGGACTTGGAGGTTTTCAAGCTCATGCCAGTTGGGCAAAATTTAGCAGCTAGACACCACGAAGGCCTCTGCAGAGGGAAAGGCAGCCTGAACTCAGCACTAGTCTCAAAAAGAAGCCAGCTCACCGGCACTGTGCAGTTTGAAACCAGGCACAGCTGGACTTTGGGGAAAGATCATTTAAATCTATTCTTCAAGCACATGGCTTTCCAAATGGCAAATTGTGCCTGGCAGGCTGGGAACAGCATTTCGTTTCCCTCCACTTGCCTGTCTGCTTGCAGTGCCCTAGGATGGGCTTGAAGCAGATGCCAGGCTGCAGTCAGTGTGCTGCAACCACTTGGCTCAGATTTGGTGCTGCTGGGATCATTTTGGTAGATGGGCTGGATGGAGTGCAGTGCACTGCAAGGTGCTCCCAACTGCCTTCCTGCAGGATGGTGCAGAACACCTGATATGGCATAAAGTGGGAACAGAAGGTACAGAACTGAGCCTGGTACAAACTTGCTTCCTGAACAAATGCAAAGCAGCTGAGGGAGACTGCTGCTCTGTGTTGTGTGGCTGCGGCAGTTTCTATCTGCTGTTAAGCTGCCTAAAACCACATCTACCATCAGGGTAAACCAGACAGTCTCTTAACTCACCAGATATTCTTATCCACTCCCTCCAGCCTCCGAGATTGCACTGGCCTTGACATTTTTGCCTGCAAAGAGAGACAAAAAAAGTTTTAAGCTTTTTCCTAATGGCAATTGGGCCACATGTGAAGGGAACATGGCCTCCCCAGGTGGGTTTTTCATAATAGAAGGTGTGCCCTTTTAGTATTGCTTCATGGGGTGCTTCTGACTGACCTTAGAGCAGTAATGGTGCTGCAGTGGCTTCTGGAAACAGCTTCACACACTTTTTATGAAAGATCAAACAGACGAGAGCTGGCAGAGGAGGAGGTTTCATTGACAAGTTCCAACAAGAATTGAAAACACAGATGAACAAAAGAAGTGTGTGTACACTCACTGGGGAGCAGGCAATGCCTGAAACCTCATTTTCACTTGCATCAGATGAGCTCAGCCATATTGTCACTGCCAAGCCAATGACCCCAGACCTCAGGCTTTCCATAGTGTCTCTTGTCTTATTCTCTACAGGTCACAAAATATCCCCTTTTCCTAGAAGAGCAAACTTCTTTTATTCCATATTGCTCTACAGAGTAGCAGAAGTATTTACTCCTTGTTCTGCTGGAGTGCTTGATGAAGGGAGCTGCTCCAGATCCTAAATGATGTGCTGGTTTTTGCACCTAAAGTTCATGGCAAAACCAGGCAGCAAGTGGGTACAGGCAAGAGGAGAGCACAGCACATGATTAGTCTGATGTACAGAGACACCAAGGTGCCATTCGCTCGACTGGTACCTAATTTCCATATGCATCATGGCTGGGGGGGTGAGAAGAAGGACAGTAGGAATCATTGAGAGCAAAATCCTTCTTTCAGTTGGATAAGCTGGAAGTGGGAGAAAGTCAGATGTGCTTGATGGGAAATTTATTGTGAGGATGATGAAAAGAGGCAGAGGCAGAATTTAATAACCCAACAGTGCAGGAAAAAGATAACCAGACAGCAAAGGGGCTGGAGATCAGAGACAAATGATGCTCAATGCACCAAGAAAAGCCAGCGTGGGGATGCAAGGAGGATGCCTCCGAAGCAATGAGCCAAGAAAACAATTATAACCACTGGCAAGTAAAATACATTTGAATAAGGATGAGGAGGCCACGTGAAAGCAGCTGAGATGTGAGCGGAGAGGGTCTATGCTCTGCTGTGCCAAGGTGGTGGGGGGGATACCAGCTCAACCCCCCTCCCCAGGCTCGGCTGTAGCAGTAATTCTTCACTTACCTGCTCACCTCTGCTGTTCCCAGAGGGCTGCACCAGAATTTGAGAAGTGGCCCAAAAATGTCTTGTGTTGAGGTCTTTAGACTTTTATACAGTGTCAGCCTTCACTAAGGATCTTTGCAAATACCTTGCTGAGGAGGCCTGTGTTTCAGAGGGCACTGGGTGGACTCTGTGCTCCCCTGTGGTGCCAGGCAGGCAGCCAAGGGTGAGAAGAAGTCACTGCCTCCCCACTTCTCTCCCTCAGTTCCCTGCTTTGCTCTTCATCTGCACAAGCTCATGGATACTACGGTCAGTAAGACCCAGTGCCAGAGCTGATTCTGGTGGGAGGAGAAGGATTCATGGCTCGGAAAGTAAAACTTCCAACTTAAATTTCATTTAGGTGAAATATTAACAGCTCCAGCCCTGCTGTCTTGTGGTGGGGCTGCTGCTGGTCACAGTTCAGAGAACAGCGTTGGCAAGTGTGATGGTGTCAGTGCAAAGAGGGTGCTTTAAGCCTAGAAATTCCCAGTTCTGAAGAAAGGCCTTGTCTGCTCCAGCCCTTACAGGAAAGGAAATGACAAATACTTTCTTCTTTTGATGTCTTCCCCATCCTATCCCCAGCCTGCATGATGCTGCCAAGGGTGGCTGCCCATCAGACTAGAGAACAACATTCCTGGGACCACACAGCCCCCAAATCTCTTTCAGCCTGTTCTGCTCCCCAAACCAAACGATATGTTTCTCCAGCTCCAATCTGCCTGTCAGCCAGACAGGATAGGCAAGTGAAAACGTAGAAGACTTAGGGGCCACAACCTTCCACCACTGACTCCCTCCTACATGTGCTTTCCTGGCTCTGCACATTTGTATCTCCAAGAGGGATGTTGTTATTTCCCAAGCCCTTTGCAACCCAAGGGGCTTTAGTAGAAGAGACTGTGAGACAAGGCAACCCCACAAATAATGAGCTTTCTTCTGTATGAAGGAGATTCTCTTGCTTATAGGTATTACCTTTAAACTGCCTACCAGGTACAGAAATTGCACCAGTGTGGCTTTTTCTGGTGTGCCCTATCTGCCATCACTGCCAAGACTAGCTCCTGGGACATGAGCTCCCCTGGGCTCCACACCACTGCAGCCCAAGCCAAGGACCAGGCTGTGAGCCAGAAACAGTGCTGCTGGGCATTCAATACCTCGCTGAAGTAGGAGCTATATCCAGTGCTGCTCTTTCTCTCCAGCAAGAAGTGACGCAGGGACGGTCTCGCTCTCCTGAGCATGCCACGGCTCCTGCTGTCTCACTCCTGAGGGCACGGACCTGCATTTCCCCCAGACACAAAGCAGAGGGGTGAGGCAAGCACTCCACAGCTGCAGGGGTAAAGCAAACACTCTGTGTACCTCGGGATGAGGCAGGTCCAGCACAGTTAATGGGAAATCAGAAGCCACAGCATGACTGCGAAATATCCACCTTGTCCCTGTGTGCAGGACAGTAGCATGTCAGGGATGGGCACTGAGATGTGGGGGGCATTGCTTTGGGATGCACAGTACCGAAATGAGGGGGCTAACCCTGCAGGTGACAAAATGAAAGCATGGCAGTAAAAAGGGCTTCAACAGACTACATAAAACTACAAAGCTGCTGTTAAGAGCTGTGCTCAAGGCTCCTGCAAAGAGCTAGAGGCAGCACCAGAGTCACGGTGCTGTTGCCAGTGGGAGCAGCTGAGCAGGCTGAGGGCAGAGGACTCTGCCTTTCCTCCCCAGGCGTGGAAGACGCTTTGGAGCGGGTCAGCTACACAAAAAGCCTGGGAAAGGCTCAAAGAGCCACTCACCTGGTTGGGCATTCCAGGCTGTGCCGTACATACACTCCCTGCAAGGGATCTGGGGAACCTCGGCCCTGGCGGCTGCCCAGGACAGAGCACACTAAGGATTTCAGAGGTGACAGCTGAAAGGTCACCGTAGGGACTGGGCACTCCCCACCTCCCGCCCTCCAGCCCGCAGGCACCAACCGTCTCCCCTGTCACGGTGCTCCCCAAGCACCTCCACTGGGCTGAACCAGCCCTGCTGCCTGCAGATGCAACCAAAAGGCTTTGGGGACAAGGGTTCCCCTGAACCCATCACACCATGGGGTGCTACACATGGTGAACGCAGCAGCAATAGCCAGCAAGCACACACATGTAGGTGCAAGGCAGCTCCCAGAGGGATGGGATGGTGGGATGGGGGGGTAAAGCCAACTTACATCAATCAAGCTGGACCATGCTGCCTGACGCTGTGGAAGTCTGACACAGCCGCCCAGGCTGCCTTTCCACACATGCTGCCCTCTCCCTGCCTCTGAAATGCTTCATCTGTAGCTGGGACTTCCTGGGAGGAGTCGCACAGGCTGCAGGAAGGTACCAGTCGGGCTACAACGCTCCGATAGGAAAACTCGTACCGGGGAAAAGTAGATCTTGGGTTGTTCTCTGAGTCACCAGAGTGAGGAAGAAAAGGGCTTTTGGGAGCAGATACTCTCCTCCCGGAGGCTTGGAACCAGAGCTGCCAGAGGATTTTGGCTGCTTGGGAAAACATTCCAGCATATTGTTCGGATGGAAGCGCATACCGGTGTAATTATTGTGGGATAATTTTTGTGGTATAGCTGTAATTGTTTTGGCATGGCAATGACAGGGAATTTCCCTTTGAGTGAAGCCTTCAGTCGTTTTGAAGAATGAATTTTAAAGTCAGTTAAGCCTCTCAAAAATTCCATCCTGCAGGCTTAATATTATTGGAGAAGAGAATGGCTCATAGTAGAGAAGGTGAAGGCATCAGTGTTACGTTCATCAGAGGATAATGACCTACTGTCGTGATACAACCTGAAGCAGGATGCTGCAGCACTGTCTAACCCCTGTGGGTGAGCAGGGAGACAGACAGCAGCCTCAGAACGGGATTACAGCGCACAGATGCAGGAGCTGAGTTCCCCATCAGTCATGAGAGGTGGTAATTGCTGCAGTGAGGTGTAGAGAGCAAATCGTCCTCTTTCAGCTTCCTTCTTCCTTTTGTGACATGCAGTGATGAATCCGGTCATGTAGGTCTCCTGAGTGAGTAATTGCTGTCTCCCTTTCACAGTAGGAAAAAGTGAGCCACAGGGAAAGGAAGTGGCTAACATCCGCTGTGCCAAAGGTCCACAAATCCTAACCCCGTGTCCAGCCACTGGATTTACAGCATCCTTGCCGTGACTAAGCAGGAGGGAATGTCTGAGATATGAACTCTTTTGTTTTCTAAACTCCTGTTCAAGTCAAACAGTGAAACAAACATGGAAGGAAAACTTGTGTTTGCTTCTGTAAGAGTGTCCACGGCACATTCTGAGCCATCTAACAGCTCAGTGCCATGTATCCTCTCCCTCCTGATGCCCTCGCTATGCTTTCTTTGCCCCTTCCCCTGCCAGCCTTGCACCCTCCCTGGTTGTTGGCCTTTATATTGGTTCATCTGTAACATGTAATTTCACCTTAATCCATCAGAAATTGCTGGATAATACACAAGTGGCCACTGTGGGAAAACACACATCCAACCTTCTTGAGTTTGTGTTGTAAAGCGCAAGGAAAAATAGGGCCTTCTCTTTCTTCAGGGCATTTTAATTTAACAACTGCATCTAGACATGAACAACTCTTCTTAATGATATTTTCTTTTTCAAATCTAATTATTGCACTGGTGTCTGAAACAGCCTCCTGGCAGGTAGGATCATATCTCCTCTGTTACAGGTCTTGTGCCTATGGCTACAGGAGGATGCTGAGACCTATCACATTCCTAGAAAGCCAGAGATGTGCTTGTTTTACTGTCACAGTGATCACTGCTGGACACAAGTTGCAATTCACTGCACTTAAACCACTCAGGACTGCCTCATGAATTATGCCCAGTATCTCCCAATGAGTCAGCCAGAGGAAGAAAAGCAGCAGTGAATCAGCCTGCTCTTTTCAGACACCACAAACCTGCTGTTGGGTATATCCTCCTAACACACCGCTGTTGCTATTCCTGGTGCTGTATTTCCCAGTGGCCTTCGTTCAGTGAGCTGTTGTTAGAGCAATGGAACAGGGTTTTCAAAATATTCCACTTCAGAAACACCACATAGGCTGGTCCTTGAGGAACAAGTGGTAAGAGCTACAATTGATATGATTTTCATTCTTTTATTGTTACCTACCCTTCGTGTTGATACTAGTTGTATCCGCTATTTTCTGAGGTACCCAGTGACAAGTTTACCACATTTTCCCCACCAACCTGGGCCATGTTTGTCCCACCTCTAAATACGAGTGATTTCTGTGTTCTTGGTTATTGCTGGGTGGTTTGAAGAGTGGGAACCAGGTGTCCATCTGAGTGTTGTGCTGTTGTGGGTGTGTGAGAGGAGAACCGGGTGGTTGAGCCTGGGCTCTATATAGAATCATAGAATAGTTAGGGTTGGAAAGGACCTTAAGATCATCCAGTTCCAATCCCCCTGCCATGGGCAGGGACACCTCACACTAACGCATCTCACCCAAGGCCTTGTCCAATCTGGTCTTGAACACTGACAGGGATGGAGCATTCACAACCTCCCTGGGCAACCCATTCCAGTGCCTCACCACCCTAACAGGAAAGAATTTCTTCTTTATATCCAATCTAAACTTCCCCTGTTTAAGTTTTAACCCATTACCCCTTGTCCTATCACTACAATCCCTAATGAAGAGTCTCTCCCCAGTATCCCTTTAGGCCCCCTTCAGATACTGGAAGGCTGCTATGAGGTCTCCCCGCGGCCTTCTCTTCTCCAGGCTGAACACATCTATATCATCCCTCCTCCTGCACAGGGCATGGCAGCTATAGCTTTTAACCCTTGTGTTTTCCCAGTGGTGACACAGCTTGAATCAGGGCCTAAAGCAGGCCTGGCTTTCCTCCGTGTTCTTCCTGAGGGACAAGAGGCTCAGCACACAGACTGTCGAACAGTGTTGCTGTATACGGCATGACATTAAATCACAGAATCATGGCATCGTTAGGGTTGGAAAGGACCTCTGGAGATCATCTAGCCCAATCCCCCCGCCAGAGTAGGGGCATTCAGAGCAGGTTACACAGGGATGTGTCCAGGCAGGTCTGGGATGTCTCCAGAGAGGGAGACTCCACAACCCCCCTGGGCAGCCTATTCCAGTGCCCTAATGTATTGACGTTCTTACTCATGATGAGGTGAAACTTCCTGGGGTTTAGTTTATGGCCATTGCCACTCATGCTGTCACTGGGCACTACTGCGACAAAAGAGTCTGGCACCCTCCTCCTGGCACCTGCCTTTGAGGTATTTATATGCATTAATGAGATCCCCTCTCAGTCTTCTCTAGACTAACCAGGCCCAGCTCCTGCAATCTCTCCACATAAGAGAGATGCTCCAGACCCCTGATCATCCTTTTAGTGCCCACTGGACCCTCTCCAGTAGTTCCTTGTCTGTCCTGTACTGAGGAGCCCAGAGCTGGCCACAGTACTCCAAACGTGTCTTCACTAAAGTGGGTCATAAACTTTAATAATGAGGTAAATGTGGGAGTTTTTTATAAAAAAATAATCAATTCTGGATTGCAAATCTAGATGCCACCTCCCCCTTCGCCTGCCCGGCGCTGAGGCGCCTTTAAGACGCCCACCATCTTGGGCGCTGCCCTGCACCAAGATGGCGGCCGCGCCCTCACTTTCCCCTCCCCGCCCCGTCTCCCCTTACGATCCCGGCACTATAAATGCCGCCCTGCACAAAGATGGCAGCGCACGCTCGTCACGCCCGCTCCCAACATGGTGGCGGCTTGCTTCCCTCCTCGCTAGCGCAGCAGCGGGACGGGCAGATACTGCCATGGCGGGTGGGTGAGGTCAGTTCCGGGGTGTGGCCGCCGCGGTGCGGTTTTGGGGTGAACAAAAGGAGCCGGAGCCGGCGTGAGGGAGGGTGGGGGCTGCGGCGGCCAGGTGGGTGCGAGCGGGTGGCGGGGCACTGCGGGTCGGGTGCGGGCAGACGGGGCGGTGAGGGCGAGTCCCCCACGGTGGGACTGCTGTGAGGGGAACCGGACCCCGCCGTAGCAGGGCTGTGGCCGGGGTCTGGTGGTGGCGGGGGGCGCAGCCCTGAGGGGATGGCAGCGGCCAGGAGGGGTCTGAGCGCTGCTCCCCGCAGCGCCGGAGGGGAGGATTTGCTGACTAAGTGGGCAGTCATTCCTTCCCTCCGTGCCCTGTCAGGCGGCGGGGCGGCTGGCGGCGAAGCCGGGGCTGGGGGCAGGTGGGTTCCTCCGAGTCTGTGGGGCGAGGCAGGGCCGTCCCGTGTGCTGAGTGTCCCCTCAGGGCACCTTGGGGCTCCGGCTACGGGGAGAAGTCCTTTATTTATGCCTGGGAGCGGTGCCGGGGAGGGAAGCTGGTTGGTTTTTAATGTGGCTCTTACAGAGGATGTCTTTTCCGCCTCTGGAAGCCTGAGGTGGTGGGGCTGGAGGGTGGTGCCGGGCTGTTTGGGCTTCGGGCTGGTGCTGAGGCCCTGAGAGGAGGTGGGGGAGAAGGTCAGAGAGTCCTCTCCCTTAAACGCTTCCTTTGCAGCAGTCTGTCACAGCTAGAACAGAATAGCTTTGAGTATGACAGTGCTGCTTCAAAATCTGTCAGCCCTAATGGTAACTCTGGGATCAGGAGGCATGTCGTCTTGAACATCATCACCAGTATTGAGGTGGGTTTCTTTCCCCAGTGATTTACTTCCTTTTCATTTCTCCATTGTTGACAGAATACTTTCTGATGTTCTGAGGTCCTCTCCTACATAGATAGGGGGATGGATGCTTGAGAGCTCCGGGCTGCTCCCTTGTCAGTTTTCCCATGCCCTGTGCTGACATGCAGGAAACAAGAAGGGGGAAAAAAAAGCTGTTGTAATTCTTGGTGGTGGTGCTAAACTGCTGCCACTTGAAAAGGATATGTGTTGGTGGATGTGTGTTGAGAGGAAAAGGGGATGGTTGCTTGAATCCAGAATGGTTAGGAACATGATCTACATTTTCAAGTACTCCTGATGGTAACATTAAAAAAAAATCAGGCTTTTCAGAGTAGGAAGTAGTAAAGCCATTCATCCTTTTTGCTATCTAAAAGGAATTGTTCTTCCAGGAGTTTAGTTTATCTGTACTAGTTAGGTCTTAGTTATTAATATTCAGCATCTGCTTTGGCTGGGTCTGCAATACCTGCTTTTTGGTAACTTGTTTTGGAATGGTATCTTTTACTCCTTCCTATGAGTTTTACTTAGCTGTTAGAGCTCTCGCCATCTGTCAGGTATCAGGGAGTCTCCTGGTGACCCTCTTGAGTTGTTCCTTGCTTCTTAGATAGCCTTTACCAAACTTTTACATGACATGGTCCCTCTGTAAACTTGATCCCCTCTTCTTTGCTGACAATCTCCATTTCGTTTCAGGGAAGCTGTTCCCATGGCGTGTGGGGAATGCAGCGGTTCAGCACCCGCTCAGGA